TGGGATGATGAGATTATTCTGCATCTTGACTGGAGAGGCAGTTACAAAAGATTTATACATTTGCCACAATTCACTGAAATGCACAAGTAAAAGCTGTGTGGTTTTTTTTTTGATGTACATGTGTAAATGAGACCTCCATTACCAAAAGAAAGACAAAACAATTAAGGTACAACTCTAAAGCTACCCAAAAAGTGATTTATTTCTACTTATGGTGATAATATCAAAACCTTATAAACAGCACTTCATAATTACCTTTTAGTTACAAATATCCCCCACCAATATCTATACCCCCACTCCACACAAACTCACTAAAGAATTCTATATCATAAAACACTTAAGGCCAAAGATACTCATTGTCAAGGTCAAATCTTTTACATCTAGATATTTAATAATGTTACACAGAAATAGTATTAAACAGCCAAACAGGCTTTATTTCATTTTTTTTTTTTGTAAATAGAAAATAATGCTGAAACTATACAATGTCAAGACACAACATATGTGTGGACCAGCTGTTATGAGAAGATAATACCATTTGTTCCCTAAACTACTTCCCAGGAATGTCTTTAAGATTAATGAGATAATGGACCAGATCCTTTTTAGTGGGAAAACTACTTGCTGTGGGTAATTTGGGCACTTTAGGGCACAGTAGATCCATCAGGCCACTGGGATACCATTATTGCATAAAGCAAAATGGTAGACTTAAAAACCTGTATTCTAATAATTAAGTTTTTAAATAGTCAGAAGGGTACGCTCTGAAGCGTAATTTATCCTTGAACTTTACTTTCTTCAAAAACAAACAGAAAGCTTTCAGTGTGCGAGTTAAACAATAAAGCCCTTCCGTCCTTCTAACGCGCCTGGGTGGCTCAGTTGGTTAAGCGACTGCCTTCGGCTCAGGTCATGATCCTGGAGTCCCGGTATCGAGTCCCGCATCGGGCTCCCTGCTCAGCGGGGAGTCTGCTTCTCCCTCTGACCCTCTTCCCTCTCGTGCTCTCTCTCATTCTCTCTCTCAAATAAATAAATAAAATCTTTAAAAAAAAAAAAGAGAGTTCATCATAATACAAGGTACCCAAGGATAAAGAAATGAAGCTGCAGTCACTGTCCACAAGAAGCTCACAATTTAGTGGGGAAAACAGACAAATAAAGAATTTAAATGCAATGTGACAAATGCTTTTTTAAAAATCCCTAAGGGCCTGGCACTACAGAAATACCTGGACAGGGCACCTTATTCGGAATGGGGGCGGGGACCTGCACGCCCGAGAAGGCCGGTGGGAAGCAGCGAGGCCTGGGCAGAGGGGCCCTGGACAGACGTGGCCAAAAGGGAGGGCCCAGGCGCTGGGCAGAGAGTGTTCAGGGCTGGAACCAGCCGTCGCAAAGGGAGGCAGAAAGTCAAGGAAGCACACGACGCAGGGACAACGTCCTCTGGTGGCAGGGCAAGCCGGTGGAGGGCATCCTAGTGGGGGCAGACTGGAAAGATCCACCTTGTAAGAATCAACTGCATGCATGTGGAACCCGGGACAAGACTAACGAGACCCGTTTGGCAGCCATCGGCTTCAGGAAGTAACTGAGGTCATCACCCAAGGGGATCTGCAGGCTACAGTCAGAAGGCGACTACAGAAATCTTGACGCCGGGGACAGACAAAAGGAAAGGGGGTAAGAGCAGCAGGGCATGGTTAAAAAAAAAAAAAAGAAAGAAATTCCAATAGAAGGTATTGTGAAATCCAAAGGAGTCAAGAAGAAGAGGAAATAACCCACGGTGGCAAGAGACTCTTGTCGGATGAAGGAAGAGATGTTGTCTGGATGTGACCATTTGTGGGGTCTCAGGTGAGCCCAGTCTCTGTGACGAGACGGAGACCAGTGTCCACAGTGCAGTTCAAGCAAGCTTCCGGGGGGGGAGCAGGAAGAGGGCTACAGCTGGTGAGGGATTCGGGCTGAAAGACAGTTTTTGAATACAAATGGGGTTGGGGAAAGAGAGCTGTTATTTGTTTCTTTTGGTAGTTTTGGTTTGGTTTCATTTTGAGAGTTTCCAGTGTTTAAATATGAAGACAAAAGAACCACTAGATAAAGAAATGCTGGGAGAAATTTTTAAAACCAGAAAATGATGGGTAAAGAAACGAAAGAGAAGGATGGGACCTAAAAGTTATTAAGAGGGGCGCCTGGGTGGCTCAGTCAGTTGAGCATCTGCCTTCGGTTCCGGTCATGATCCCGGGGTCCTGGGATCAAGTCCCGCATCGGGCTCCCTGCTCGTGGGGAGTCTGCTTTTCCCTCTCCTCCCCACTCATAGTCTCTCTCACCATCTCTCTCTCTCTCAAATAAATACATAAAATTTTTAAAAAATAAAAGCTACTCAGAGGGCTCCCGGGGGTGGGGGTCCAGGAGAATCCCTTTTCCACTGAGATAGGAGGGAAAGCCTGAAAGGTGGCTTTAGGAACCTTAGACTCTACAGGTAGCCAGAGGGAAGCTGAGGGAATTAAGCTTCTTATTTCGGTGCCATGAGAGCCTGGTTCTGTTGAACCAGGAGAGGGAGGTTTGTTTCTGCTTCCACAAATATTATTTAAGGAAAAAAAAAACCTAAACTTGTATGAAAGTGCGACTTAGTTATACACTCCGGATAGTCCACTGAATTATTTATTTGCAATGACATCAGGAGTTTCAACTGTTCAAAATGAACGGAATTTTACCAAAAGTAGTCACTTCCATTATAACATTAAAATATTTGGATGTCAATCACTGATAAGCAATAAAACCCACAAATAACAATACAATCAAGAAAGGTTTACTAAAAAATATAAAAATGAAAGCTAACTTTAAAACCCACAATGATGAATTCTTCATGGGATCTGTATAAGCTGTCAGGGAGAGATGTCTCTACACAAAAATCACATTTCTTCTAATCATATTTTACAGGCCAGTAAAGCTTACAGAAACTCTTGCAGTTACGTTGAACTAATGTGTGCATAAACGCTGGTTCCCAAACTCTATGCGCCGGATGTTCTCCTCCAACAGATTACGAGCTATCTGTGTTCGCCGAAAGACTGACTTAATTCTTCCAAGTCCTTGCTCCTTCGATCCCTCCATCCCATCTACGTGTGAGAACAGGACAACTTTACAGCCCTCCAGCGTGCAGAGACTCACCATGATGCCTGCATGCCCACCGCATGGTAACAAACACCCCCCATGCCGGACATCCTAACTGCGCTCTTGTCCGGCTCGCCGGCTGCCGCAGGGTTGCGGGGGAGCATTTTACTGTCCACTCTCAGTGGTCTCCCAGGCAGAGCCCCTCCTCACAGTGTGAACTGCTGGAAGCCAGTCCTGTGTCCCAACCGCGCTGGGACTGGAGGCTCCCAGCAGATCGCAGGGGGCACAAAGCCTTCTCCCCCACCTCAGCAAGCACCGCAAGCCTTCAGCATCTGCAGATGTCAGGCATGAGTGGGGCAGCTCCATCAGTTCTGGAACCCTTCCCAATCATCCTGGGAGGCGAGGATTTGCTCAGATAAAAAAAAAGACCCTGACAGAGAATCAGTGGGGGGATATTTTCTCAAATTTGATGTAAGTACTGTGAGCAGATTTTATATATTGAACGTTCTTAGGTTTCTAAGAGATTACTGTTACTAATATGGGCTTTTTGTGTCTCTCAAAAACTTATCATATACCTACACGAGGGCAGCTGCAAGCCATCACTAATAACCAAGCATCAAATAAGATACTTTTTTATAACGATATTATTCTTACAGATATTAAAGAGCACTATATATATTTTTTAAAGGTTGTATTTATTTATTTGAGAGAGAAAGCGAGCGTGAGAGAACAAGAGCATGAGCAGGGGGAGTGGCAGAGGGAGAAACAGACTCTCCGCTGAGCAGGGAGCCCGATGTGGGACCCAATCCCAGGACCCTGAGATCATGACCTGAGCCAAAGGCAGACACTGAACTGACCCAGGTGCCCCTAAAGAGTACTGTATTATGTAAATTTTTAATATAATAGACCTATGAGAAATAGGATAGAGTATAAATCATTATCTATTACTCAAAATCCTTATTTTTTTTTTAAGATTTTATTTATTTATTTGAGAGAGAGAAACAGAGATACTGAGAGAAAGCACAAGGTGGGAGGAGAGGGAGAAGCAGACTCCCTCCTGAGCAGGGAGCCCGACACGGGGCTCGATCCCAGGATCCCGAGATTATGACCTGAGCCGGAGGCAGACACTTCACCAACTGAGCCATCCAGGTGCCCCTCAAAATCCTCACTTTTAAGTGAAATAAGCAAAATGAGTATCAGTGAGTATTACATGCATCCATCTGAATAAATTTTTTAAAGGGGTGGGTAGGGAGTAAATATACACACACTCACACACACTCACACTCACACACACACACACACAGACATATAAACAATACTTCGAGTATGTGTTTTATAAAAAAGTTGTTAATGGTCACAGCAATCCTCTGCCCTAGCCTTACCATGCCAGTGATCTGACAGATTAAAAAGCTGTTAAAATGAGAGGTGCTCCCCTTGCAACCACAAAGAAATCAGGAAACAAAAACAAAACAAGGGTTTAGGTCTTTTCCACGGGAGAGCTGCATCTTCTAGAGGTGCTAATGTCAGTCGCCCCCCTTCCCACCAAGGCACACACAAAGCCAGTGGACCTGGCTGTACGCACGCCCAGCATGCCTAACTCTGTGGCAAGAACAAGAAAAAGAGGAACCCCACTCTGAAGGGCAGTGGTCATGGGATGGCTCATGGTCCCCACTGGCCCCCACACCTGCGCTCGAGAACACTCACCCCCTACCACGCAGACAAACACACAGACAGATTCATTTCTCTGTCTCTGCCCCCATAAGGCCAATGTACATACATGCCCCTGATTCCAAAACGGGCATTTCTGGTAATATAAGTCCATGAGAAAGTGGGGTTTAAAATAAAAAAATTTATTATGTAGTGTTTACCCTTTTGTATGATTCCAGATTTGGGGGGGGTTACTTTTACAAAAAAGAAAAACTTACTGTTGACATGATCGATGTAGTAGACGCCAATCTGTGGGTCAAACCCTGCTTCCCAGCCCCACGGCAGCTCATCCCCAACACAATCAGCAAATGACAAGGGCTTCGTTAACCTGCAACAGACCAGAATAAATGCACGGTGATTCTTTCCATCAAACCACATAGGTCAAAATTCGGTACCCTAACCAAAATGAAGACGTGTCTAGGTGGCATTTCCGTTTTGTTCTCAATTGTGTCTAGAGTTTGCAGTGCTGTGTTTGAAATCTTAACAGAAAAAAAAAAGGATAAAATACAGAGATGAATATCCAAAAAAGTAACAATAAGTCATAATACCCTTTGCAAAGTTCACAGCTTAAGACTGGGAGATAAATTCATACAATAAATAAGTAAGGCCATTTCAAATCAGGGAGAAGTCCAAGCTGAGAGTAAGGAGCCTGGGACCCTGCTCCAGCTCTCCAGCTAAATGGCTCTCCCATGACAAAGAAGAATTTGTCCCGGGATTCAAATCCTGGCATCATGGAAATCATCACACCAGTAACTCTAAGACAAGATACGTATCAGGCTACACTAATTCTACATTTAGATGCTCTTGTATAAATTAACTGAACACTTACGTGAATGTGGGGTCCCCCATGACAGGAGGGACAAGTATATTTTATTTTTGTAAGTATCTTACACATACCAGTCACTCAACACAATTTTTAATGGAACCAAACACACAAAATACTTAGGTATCAATGTGATGTCACCTTTTGAAGCTGTTATGCTTTCTGTTTTTTTATTTTACTATGTTATGTTAATCACCATACATTACATCATTAGTTTTTGATGTAGTGGTCCATGATTCATTATTTGCGTATAACACCCAGTGCTCCATGCAGAACGTGCCCTCCTTAATACCCATCACCAGGCTAACCCATTCCCCCACCGCTCCCCTCTAGAACCCCCAGTTTGTTTCTCAGAGTCCATAGTCTCTCATGGTTCGTCTCCCCCTCCAATTCCCTCCCCCCTTCATTTTTCCCTTCCTGCTATCTTCTTCTTCTTTTTTAAACATATAATGTATCGTTTGTTTCAGAGGTACGGGTCTGCGACTCAACAGTCTTGTACAATTCACAGCGCTCGCCATAGCACATACCCTCCTCAATGTCTATCACCCAGCCACCCCATCCCTCCCACCCCCCACCACTCCAGCGACCCTCAGTTTGTTTCCTGAGATTAAGAATTCCTCATATCAGTGAGGTCATATGATACATGTCTTTCTCTGATTGACTTATTTCACTCAGCATAATACCCTCCAGTTCCAACCACGTCATTGCAAATGGCAACATTTCATTCCTTTTGATGGCTGCATAATATTCCAGTGTGTGTGTGTGTGTGTATGTGTGTGTGTGTGTGTGTGTGTGTGTGTGTGTGTACCACACCTTCTTTATCCATTCATCTGTCGACGGACATCTTGGCTCTTTCCACAGTTTGGCTATTGTGGACATTGCTGCTATAAACATTGGGGTGCACATACCCCTTCGGATCCCTACATTTGTGTCTTTGGGGTAAATACCCAGTAGTGCAATTGCTGGGTCGTATGGTAGCCCTATTTTCAACTGTTTGAGGAACCTCCACACTGTTTTCCAGAGGGGCTGCACCAGCTTGCATTCCCACCAACAGTGTAGGAGGGTTCCCCTTTCTCCACATCCCCGCCAACATCTGTCGTTTCCTGACTTGTTAATTTTAGCCATTCTGACTGGTGTGAGATGGTATCTCATTGAGGTTTTGATTTGGATTTCCCTGATGCTGAGCGATGTGGAGCACTTTTTCATGTGTCTGTTGGCCGTTTGGATGTCTTCTTTGGAAAAATGTCTGTTCATGCCCATTTCTTGATTGGATCATTTGTTCTTTGGGTGTTGAGTTTGATACGTTTTTATAGATTTTGGATACTAGCCCTTTATCTGATATGTCATTTGCAAATATCTTCTCCCATTCTGTCGGTGGTCTTTTGGATTTGTTGACTGTTTTTTTTTTTTTTTTGCTGTGCAAAAGCTTTTTATCCTGATGAAGTCCCAATAGTTCATTTTTGCCCTTGCTTCCCTTGCCTTTGGAGATGTTTCTAGGAAGAAGTTGTTGCAGTTGAGGTCGAAGAGGTTGCTGCCTGTGTTCTTCTTTAGGATTTTGATGGACTCCTGTCTCACATTTAGGTCTTTCAACCATTTTGAGTCTATTTTTGTGTGAGGTGTAAGGAAATGCCCGTTTTGGAATTACCAGAAATGCCCGTTTTGGAATCGGGGGCATGTATGTACATTGGCCTTACGGGGGCAGAGACAGAGAAATGAATCCTGCATGTGGCTGTCCAATTTTCCCAACACGTTTTGTTGAAGAGACTGTCTCTTTTCCATTGGACATTCTTTCCTGCTTTGTCGAAGATGAGTTGACCACAGAGTTGAGGGTCCATTTCTGGGCTCTCTATTCTGTTCCGTTGATCGATGTGTCTGTTTTTGTGCCAGTGCCATACTGTCTTGATGATGACAGCTTTGTAATAGAGCTGGAAGCCTGGAACTGTGATGCCGCCAGCTTTGCTTTTGTTTTTCAACATTCCTCTGGCTATTCGGGGTCTTTTCTGGTTCTATATAAATTGTAGGATTATTTGTTCCATTTCTTTGAAGAAAGTGGATGGTATTTTGATAGGGACTGCATTAAATGTGTAGATTGCTCTAGGTAGCATTGACATCTTCACAATATTTGTTCTTCCAATCCATGAGTATGGAACGTTTTTCCATTTCTTTGTGTCTTCCTCAATTTCTTTCATGATTATTTTATAGTTTTCTGTTAAGCTTTAAAATGATTGAGGGAAACCACAGTTTCCTAAGCAGGCTATGGGTTTCAAACTTAATGTTGGGTTGATTTTTCTCTCTCACTTTCTTCATTTTTGATTTTGAGATTTTCCTTGGCTGTTAGAGCAGCCCAGGTAGGCTAACAGTACAGGTTGGTGAATGTCCTATTGTCGGGTGGCCAACATCAGTGGACATACCTTCTGATTTAGCACACGGGCACCACCATCGACACAGTCCCTACATACAGAATTCCATTTATCCATGCTAATGAATATCAACAATGTCATAGTTCAACTGAAATACAGCTCGCTTCCAGAATCTCATCATCCATCAGAATGACAAACTGTGTCACCTACCCTTCAGAATGCTGGGAGATCAAGACGTAAAGGACGGAAACCCTTTCTTCCCAGGCCTCGCCTACAACAGCCCCCTCCAAGGACATAAAATACCAGTGGATGAAAAGAAGGGAGTGTCTCCTTTACTCTCAATGTTCCCAGAGCCCGAAATCTGCTTCTGGGGACACTGGCCTTTGAAACCAGTTCAGCTGATGGAAGTAATAAGGAGACCAAGCAGCTCTGCCCCTGAGACACTAGGAAGACCACCTTACTGGGAGCCTCCATCTACCCCAGGCTCCTTCTCTTTTAAGTGGTGATCACACCCCCCTATCCTCTCCCTGCAATTTAACTGCCTCTTAGGATTAATGTGAGATTAAAAAGGAAATAACTTAGAACAGTGTCAAGGACATGGTAAATAGTCACCAGATGTCAGAAATTATCAATACAAGTGCAACACATGAATTCTCTAATTTGTTCTTCACACGAACGGAGTCAGGCAGTAGTTCTCAACGTACGGTATTCATGACCAGCAGCATCAACATCTGGGCACTGGTTAGAAGTAAATTCTTGGGCCCTTAGGCAGAGTCCTACAGAATCGGAAACTCGAGGGCCCACCAATGCATGTTTCATCAAGCTCTCCAGGTAATTATTTCTATAAGTTGGGAACCACTGGCTCAGAAGGTAAGAGCCTGAAATTTGGCATCAGAGATCTGCTGGGTTCAATTCCTTGTCTGCCACTTACCTGCTGGAGAACCTAGGGCAGGTTACTAACCTTAAAAACCCCTGTTTCCAAATTGTTTTTTTAAAGGGGGGAGGGCGGATCGTGAAGTTTAAATGAGGATTAAATAACATAATGGTCGATGAATGGGAAGCTTCAGTATATATTAGATGAGTGAAATGAGCTCCAGCCATGTTAGGTAATGCACCCAATAATACGGCAACTCATCAGATTTACTTTGCAAACCTGGAGTCAATTTGAACCCAATCCAAGTCAAAAAACCGTGCTCTTAGTTGTGCTTAAATTCCATCGTATATCGTAAACTGCCCAGGAAAATTGATAAAGGAATTAGATACGACATCAAACAAACCCCAAACCACAGGAAGTGGTCTTGCCTTCATACATTGTCTGTAAGACTGACCTCTGACTCTGTTGATAAAGCTGATTATTAGACAAAGCCCCTGTGCCAGGTTACATTGCATATTATTCTGTTCTCTTTCCCTCTTTTATCAGTGCTGTCTGAAATGCACATGCATCCTAAAGAAATGAATAAGACACGGATATGTAAGTTTAAATGACAAAAGAGTGGTATTACACAAGTGTTATCTTGGTATCAAATCAACATGCTTCAGCCTGAGTATGACATGAATATATTTATCACTAAGAATGAGAAGTCACAAAAGCTTCAGAACATGGGTTATGATTATAAATTATGGTTTTCTGACTACACTTGGAAATTATCCAGTTTTTCCTATTAATTGCTCAACAGATAATAAGCATTTTATTAACTGTCACTGTTCTAAGACTAGAATTACATCTATAAGTATACAGGTAATTATGAACTCAGTTAAAAAATTCAAAAGTTTCCATTCCTGGAAATTTTAATGTAAAAATTTCTTTGCAGTGTTACTTCAAAAATCAATTAGATGCTTTATTTTCTGTACCTGGATAAGTACCTATCTTTTCTCCACACTCTATCGATAAGTAAAACCATTAAAACACGTATGTATAAATTTCAAAATGTTAGAATTTAATTCTTATCCAAACTACAAGGTATAAATAGAATAACATTCTCAGATACCAAACAGAATTAAGCGCTCAATTCTGCTGCTATCCTGATAATGGGAACATATTACTATGACATACTAAGAAGTAACACAAAACAAAAAGAAGTTAACAGATGCATTCCAAAATTAGAAACAACATGGCTTAGAACAAATACAGTAAGCAGAAACGTT